AAAATAAAGCTTCCCCCCCCCCCACCCCCTCAACACAATATTGACCCGCTGTTCAAGCTACCTGTAGAAAACAACGAACACCCGAACTTTAATGGATAGAAGAGGGGATGGCAGAGTGCCTCGCCGTACTGAAGATCAATCCTAGTTTTAATTAAATTACTGGCTTACCAGCATTCCCCTAAACAGAAAAGATTGTTGAGGTACGTAATCTCGATCGGCGTTTTGGGTAAAAAGCGATCTAACATGTGCATAAAACAAGTAACTTATGCGCTATACTCCTACCATTTCACCTACCAGGCGATGGCATCAATTGCCTCTCAATTCTATCCACTGCTGCTACTACTTTATCTACTTTGGCTTCAACGTTAATCAGCTTGTCCATCACACTATCTTCGTCCGTCTTCCACTTCTTTAGAAGCTCTTTGTAGTGTTCTTCTAGTTCAGGGTCCCAGCAGTCATACTTGAGCCCATCAATAGCTGCTTCATAAGCCACTCCACCAAGTCTTACCAGCGTACAGCGGATATTCTTCCAATAATTGTGAAATGTCGCATCGTCAACCGACGCTTGGGCGGAATGACCACACACTTTATTTTTGTAGAATTTGATGCGAGCGATGTCAGCTTCACAAGACAAATCTGCAGGCAAAGGAAGGGTATCCCAGCCAGTGGCTGGAGTAGTCAGGCCACAAATATTCCTGAGCAGCACCACCAGCAAGGTGATATCAAAGTCTTTGGACGAAACTGAAGATTTGATGGCAGGGTATAGTATATCCCATTGAAAAGGATTCAAGATTTTCTTCACTTGAAGGTACTGCAGTTTAGGAAGAGCTGGTGGTGTTGCCAAAACTGTTTCAAGGCCTCCTGGAGGATGAATTCTATCAAATGTGTCTCGCAGGGCCTGAGAACCAAAATCCACCAAAAGCCGGCATAATCTGGCATAATTAGTTGTCTCTCTTGTAGATGGAAACGTCGGAGCTGCCGATGCCATTGAAAGAAGAAAGTTTCTTCTATAAGAAAANAAGAAACGGTGCAAAATATGTCGCAGATTGCAGTACTGTTGCAGTTCAAAAACTTGCACGCTTCCGCGGGTTCCCTGTAAACGACAGACGTATCCCTGCAAGGTTTTGGCCGTTCAAAAATTTGTTCGGAACCGTGAAAACGGGGACTGAGAAGTCATTATTAGAAGTTGCTCGAATTTCCCAGTCTAGAAAATTGCTAATCTTGAACTTCCTATCTCCATATACAGGGTTTGTCTTTTAATCATTTATGTTGTACTTTTCCTTAGTTCTACCATTAATCCATATTGATTTTTTTCCAATTTTACTGTTTGTATCTTTTTCTCTGAAAAAGCGTTTTGAGAAGTTTTTATTTCAAATCAACATAATAATATTTCTGATTTTATTCCTTCTAGACGAGGTTTTAGAATAGCCCATTTGAACATCAACATTCTAACTAAACACATTGATCAATTGAGAATTCTCCTTTTTGATTGCTCTGTCGATATTATCCCAATTAATGAAACTAACTTGATGACGCTATCAAAAGCTATGAGGTCCATATACCAGGCTATGAATTTATTTGACGTGATAGAAACAGACAAGGCGGAGGTGTAAGCTTTTATATAAAAACCTCGATTAATTTTGTAGTTTGTTCTAATCTAAATGTAACTAATCTTGAAAATTTATGTATTGAAATTCGTAAACCTAACTCAAAGCCATTTCTGATAGCTACATGGTATAGACCTCCTTGCTCTTCGATTGATTTATTTTTATATTACGAATCGTTTCTTCAAAAACTAGATTCCCTTGGTCTTGAATATTATCCTTTAAGTGATTTAAATTGTAACCTGGCCACCTTACAGTATGATTCAAATACTCTTTGCTTATATGAAATTTCTAATTTATTTGGGCTTCAACAACTTATAACTGAACCTATTCACATAACAAAATCCTCGGCAACTTTAATTGATTTAATTTTTACCTGACTATCCTGGCAGGGTAGTCTGTTCCGGAGTCTCTCATATTGGCATCAGCGATCACAGCCTTATTTACGTTTATAGGAAATTATCTCCTGCATTTCCCTCAAAAGGACATTCAACCATTTTTTACAGAAATTTTAAAAATTTTAATCGAGAGAGTTTTCGTAACGATATCGCTCAGCAGGACTGGACTTGTAACGGCTCTGATGATCCTAATCTTTTGTGGGCTGACTGGAAAACGAAAATTTTGGATATTGTTAACTTTCATGCTCTACTCCGAACTAAACGCACTAGACTAAAAAATAGCACCCTGGGTCAATTCAGAATTAAAGAAAGGCATACGCGATCGAGATGCTGCCAAAAGAAAAGCTATTGCATTGAATGATCCAAGCGACTAGGCAACTTATTTCCAATAAACTTACTTTGAACACCGCTAAACTGAATTTATGCTAATTGCATTAGGACAAAAATTGAGTACTTTGTCGAGCCAACCCGAGCTCTCGATTCATAATGTTCGTATAGAAAAAGTTACCTCTGTAAAATTGCTTGGAGTATTTATTGATAAAAATCTACCTTGGCAAACGCACATCGATAAATTATCTAAAAAGATCACTTCCGGGATAGGAGCAATTAAAAGAATTAGAGATTTTGTTCCAACGCCTACTCTCCGTTGTATACACAACGCTCTCATTCAATCTCACTTCGATTATTGTAATATTGTCTGGTGTAATAATGGTAATTATGGAAAAAATTTGTCTGACAGGCTAAAGAAGCTTCAGAACCGTGCTGCTCGTGTTCTAACCTGCTGTAGGCCTTTTCTAGATATGATGCTGATGCCAACCGCTTATTTAGACAACTTAATTGGAAAGACTTGAGCACTCAATTTCAAATACAAAACGCCCCAATGGTTTTCAAGTCTTTGAATGATCTTGTTCCAGGATATTTATCCTCCAAATTTGTTAAACGATATGAAACGCGCTACTCCCTAAGAGACTCTGTTAACAAGCTAATTGTCCCGTTACCGTGAACTAACTTCAGGGAAAATAGTTTCAGTTGTAGCGGAGCAGTTCTCTGGAACAGCCAGTCCTGTCATATGAGATAGGCTAAATCTTTAAGTCGATTTAACCGATTGGTTCATCTGAATTTCTGATTTTTTTAAGTACTATGTACACGGCATTCATGAAAAACAGGTCTTAGTTAGGTTAGTTGTAGATAGTTTTGCATATTGTTTAGGGTAGTTAGGTTTATTTAAAATTTTTTATACTCCTGATGAATTTTACCGTATTTAAATAAAGAATTATTCGATTCGATTCGATTCGATTCGATTCTAACAATGAATAGATATAGTAAAACATTGCAGTCGACTAATCTTTTCTGTTGCCCACTGAGCCGTACTATATTGGCCTATATTGTTTCTTGATGCTTGGGTGGTAGTGTATAGTGACGGAGAATAAATAATTTGCATGAGCTGTTCAACGGAACGAAAAAAAAAAACAAAACAAAATTCTCCAAGACGTCCTTGCTGGAATATTGTTGAAGGCGTTTTTTGGTTACCGACAATCATTTTCTGAATTTCTAACGGCATGTTACATTCTTAGAAAAATTCAAGCAGTTGAATGATCAAAATTTCCAGTTTGATCATCGATGATTTCGATCACAGACGGAAGAGCTGTTTGTGAACAAAGAGAACAAAAAAGAAGAGTTTGCTTGAGAAACGGTTAGCCTTTGTGATTCATATTGTGGGTTTAAACGCTTTCAGTTTTTAAACACTTACAAATGGACAGTTTCAGATCATCGAGAAATTGGGGGCCCCGCACATCCAGAAGCTAAAACAGAGGGGCCGGCCTCGAAAATAATTTTTGTCCGCCCTACTGGCTTTTGGCCTAAAAATACGGTTGGGCCCCTCCCCTAGATCTCCCAAAAGCGAAAGCGAAAGAGATATCGTTACCTGTAGTGAGTGAAACTAATCTCTCATCATAGGGAACCCAGGCTCTTATTTGTAAACTGCAAATGGAAATTAAATAAGAGATAAAATCTTACCTGTTCTGTTTTATTCTTGAATCTGCTGTGGTGCGAAGTGAAATGGAATTTGTTTGACGATGCGAAAACTATGGTCAAGTCGACGCTTTAACCGTTGTTGATTTCACAATGCTTTATGTGGTCACGCGCCGGTTGTTTTTGTCGTCTTGCGTTTCATGGTTGGTTGTTACTTTATTAACAATTTAAATTAACGGTGATAAATAGCAGTCGTATTGTCGTATTCGAAAGAATCGTGCACTACCAGTATTTAGCCTGTGTGGCAGGCGTTAAAAGAGGGAGGGGAAGGGGGAATTTGGGCGCCCGAGAGGACGTGGGGCGCTCCCTCCTCCATCTCGCGTGGTCTCGCGCCCTGCCACGCAGGCTAGAGTAAATTTGCGTAAAAATACAAATTGACGGCAATAAGAGGGAAAGATTGCGCAGGAGAGAGTAAAAATTATTTCTTTGGGCTCCCGCCTTCGTTCCTCGCGGCTTCGCTGCTCACCCGTCGCGCGTGCTGTAACGTTTTATGTCGTTCGAATTAGCGACATAAAGAGAGAGAGAGACGCATGCGCATCAACAAGTCAACCCCAGTTTTTAATAATCTTCGAACATTACAAGAGAATCAATAAATTATTGTTCTAATCACGCAACAGCCGATTGTAAACTAAGGTGATTATTCAACTACTATTATTAGATCACATCACGCGAGTCCCTATGTTGATTTACTCCTTCTAGTTCATCAGGTAATCGTCGTGCCAACCTGGCGGTTTCCTTACACGAGCTGAACGACGTGGTTGAGTGACTGGTTCGGGAGTCACACCTGAGGTGTCATCTCGACGACGAGTGGGCTGTGTTGTTTCTTGGCTCTTAACGGGAGATGTTACATCGGCATCACTGTTCGGAAGATCTTCAGGTGTAGTGTGTGGAGGTGCTTTGGCCGTTGTTCTTAGTTGGAGCCTCTTGCGACGATAACGGCGACCTGCGACTTCCACTTCGTAAGAGCGGTTAGGTAGTGCCTTGACGCAGCTGCCAAGAGACCATTTTGTGTCACCAGGGAGTTTCTTTCGAATCGCTCTACCGGGCTGG